ATGAACGGTACCCATACGACGAACTGCTTCGGTACACATGATTGCGACGCGAAGCCCGGTGCCCTGATGCTGAAGTACCCCGAGGGGAGCCTCTGGTGTGACATCCAGACGAGCGGGAGCTGGAACAGGAATGCCAATGTCTGTCCCATCGAGAGCGGCTCCAGTGGCTATGTCTAGCAGGTGAGCGCTCTCAGTGCCTCTCTCGGTGCCTACACTCGCTGGCAGGTGGCAGAGAGGATCCCCGCGACCCCCATCCCGACGGTGCCCTGGACGGTCTGGACGGCGTCGAGGGTGGCTGGGAGCTGTGAGAAGAGTGGCTGCTGCGCGCCGAGCAGTGCAGGGAGCAATCCTCGGAGCGGGAACTGCGGCTGCTCGGAGAGGTCTGGTGGGCACCCAACGGGGGCTTGCCTCGCGACCTAGGGCCCGGGCCCGTTTGCGAGCTCCAGATGGGCAAAGACATAATGTCCTTCACAGCCTGCACCACCTCCGGCGTCGACGGCATCCATACCAGTGGGGATGCCTGGGCCGACGGTACCGGGCTGCTCCGCTCCACGTGAGTTGGAGCTTTTGAGCACGGGGGGATCGAGGCTGCCCAGCGCGGGACCAGCCTCCCCCTTATCCTTGCCACAGCATCGTTGCGAGGCCAGGCCCTTCCCTTACTTTTTGGAGGGAGAGTGGTGCCAACTGGTCGAAGGGGCCTAGCTATGTACCGATGATGTGGCGGCCGGCACGGAGTCCGATCTGCGTACCGGCGTCGGGGTCAGCGCCGACTCCATCAGGAGAGCTCTGAGTCTAAAGTCTCTCTCCTTCTTAGTCCTTGGCTTGAACGACCTACAGATCTTGCAACGGTCACTAATGTGAGTCTCACCCAGGGAGCGAAGACACTCAGTGTGAGGGTCGCTCCTGGGCATAGAACGGCGACAGGAGTTGCATGACTTGAAGCCTGGGGCACGGGTCATGCCCCGAGCCCACTCTAACAACTGAAGGATGATCTACCAACGGTACCACTAAGGTCGAGAAGAAGGGCTACAGCAGAGCTGGAGCACAAAAGTTCCGACTACCTTCACTGGCGGCAAGAAGGAACTGAGGGGGCTCCCCTTATAGCGCTATATGCAGGCGCCACTCCAGGGGTCGCTGCAGTGCTCCGCCAGTATGGGTACTGCTAAGGGAAAAACTTCCGGCACCCGTGCATGTGGCGAGCATGCACACCTACTGTGGAATACACAGGAGCAATCACTCAAAGAAGAACTACATCATTACATTACCATGAATTACAGTGTATTAAAATCATGGTCGCAGCATCTCCAGCGGCCTGGCTGCAGGCATCTGTTCCCCAGCCAGGGCAGGTTGGGGCTAGGCGTGGTGGGGGCCAGGAAAGGGGCATAGCTTAGAGGGAACTTAGGTCCAGGGCTTCTCCTTTCCCCCCACCCCACCCAGTGTAGCTCCTGCCGGGGTCTGGGGCCTTTCCTTCCCCTAATGTGTCACTGCACCCATCCAGCGCGTGCATCTAGGAGCCCTGCAGCCTGCTGGGGCGTTTTCAAAGGACCTGGGGCTCCCAGCTGCTGCCACCACCACCAGGCACTGGCAGCAGCTGCGACTGGGGGCCCCGATGT